TGTGTTCACACGGTAAGCAAGGACACTTACAGAACTCCCTTATGGTGCTTGAAGTATATTTTATCTACCAAAAATGCAATTTACACAAATTTGCAGGATTATATCTAATGCATAAAGTGAAGGCAATCAGCTAATATGTAAATATCAACCACCAGACCTTCCTTGTTTCGTTTTGTTTAATACCTTCTAAGCAGAAATGGCTATGTGCAAAGCTTATTCTAATGGAAACATAAGGATGACAGAATTGATTTCTTCTCTCTTCTGAGGTAGGTAGTTCTGCTCTAGTAACCATAGTTCTGGGAATATTTTCTCCCTTGTTAGTCTTGCTATGTTTATCCTAAACAGAATTCTCTGAAGGGTTAAGAAAAAAGAACAGTAGAAGAGCTATGGATTATTGTTACTACTGCACTTCAATTTAGTATTTAAGGGCTGTTAGAGGTAATAATTCTCAAACTATTAATAGTCAATTACTTCAAGGTTAAAAATAACCTAATTTAAAATTTTAACACACTGTAAAGTGTTCTTATATATACACACATATGTATATATCAAACATAAGTAGCATGAACAGAGAAGGAATAATGTTTTAAACCCTACTTTAAAGGTAAAAAAAAAAGTACCTAGACTATGTGTATTTGGGGGTGGAGGGTATATGAGAAATCTTTGTACCTTCTACTCAATTTTGCTGTGAACTTAAAACTGCTCTAAGAAATAAAGTCTACTTTTTTTAAAAAGGTATCTAGAATTATAAAAATTTGTTACAACTACCAAAGTACAGAAAAGTATTATAATAACCTTATTATTTTTAAAAAGCAAATTTTAAAACAAAAAAAGGGATTAATTCATTTAATAAATATTTATTGAACTCATTGAATGAGGCATTGTTGCCAGTACAGATGGTACACTGCTGCCTCTTTAAAGTACACACCACAATCAATGTCAACATACTCAATATAGTTGAATGGACATTATATGGTTGGCACTGTCCTAAAAACACAGGTAAAAAGATTACAAACTCCACAGGTAGCTTTTTACTATGCCAACGAATATGCATTATTCAGGTCTCTCTCTCTCTGTTCCCTTTCTTGTATGCTAGGCTATTTCATTTCTCATTAGTATCACAGCAAAGAAATAAAGATGGCAGAGAGGATACTAGGAGACAACAAACCCAGGTTCTGTCACTGAGTAATTTGTTAGCTGCAATGAGTGGAACAATTATGAGGAAAGCTAAAGTTTCCAGGGAATTTATTTCATACTAATGAGCAAGCTAATAAAAAGTTGAACTAACACTTCGATAACCTGTGACTTAATCTGATGCTGGAGGCAAAACCTACTTTAGATGCTTCCACTGAAATGCGCAGATATCTTTCAATGTACATAATGTGACTTAGACTCAGACCAGTGTCTTGCACACAGTTGTTCAATAAAAAAATTTAAGAACTGATTAAAAGGCAATGTTATAAAGAACTGCACAGAAAAAAAAATTGTATTATAACCTAATCACTTTATAACAGCCATTTATACTTTGTTATGACCCTCTGATGAAAAAATAGAAAGCCACAACTTAAATATAGACTAATCCAATAACGTTATTACAAATTATGAGTTTTGAGTTCATTTTCATAGCTGTATGATAACGTCCTCACATGTTACAATTTCTCAACAGTTTCCTAGAATATGAAAGTTTAGGCACAGTGGCTCACGCCTGTTATTCCAGGACTTTGGGAGGCCAAGGCAGAAGGACTACTTAAGGCCAGTTCAAGGCCAGCCTGGGAAACAGCCCGACCCTGTCTGTACAAAAAATAAAATTAGCTGGGTTTGATGCTGTGTGCCTATGGTCCGTCCCAGCTGCTCAGGAGACTGAGGCAGGACTGATTGAGTCCAGGAGTTCGAGGATGAAGTGAGCTCTAATGACACCACTACACTCTAGCCTGTGTGACAGAGTTAGACTCTGTCTCTTAAAAAAAAAAGAATATGAAAGTTTATTCTTATAAAAAGGTTAAAAAAAAAAAAAGAAGAAGAAGAGGAAGAGAAAGGTTCTACTCCCTCCACAAAGCAGGATGTGGCTAAGAGGCCTTTAGTAAAATGCATGTTAGAAATCTGTAGTTTTAAAAAACCTATATGGAGTTTGACTAAAATGCTAAAATGTGTATAAAATCTGATAGTGTTTGTGAAGGTCCAAGAAAGCTGCAGCCACCTGTTAGAAATAACTCATGGCCACCCAAACCATAGCTCCATCTCTCTCCTTCTAGAAGAATAATTCTGCCAAGTTGGGCTTTAGTGCCCTATCATTATCTCATTACACATGTGCACAATTCCAAAGCCACCATTCAAGGAAAACCCTGAATCACTGTCCTTTGCTGGGCTGCCCAACGTGCCGCACATCACCAAGTCTCTGACGGCCAGAGAAAGTGGGGTTTATTTTTTAGAATCCTTTATTACTCTAGCTTTTTTTTTTTTTTTTTTTTTGAGACAGAGTTTTGCTCTGCTGCCTGGGCTAGAGTGCCGTGGTGTCAGCCTAGCTCACAGCAACCTCAAACTCCTTAAGCAATCCTTCTGCCTCAGCCTCCCAAGTAACTGGGACTACAGGCATGCACCACCATGTCCAGCTAATTTTTTCTATATATTTTTAGTTGTTAAGCTAATTTCTTTCTATTTTTTTAGTAGAGAGGGGTTTTACTCTTGCTCAGGCTGGTCTTGAACTCCTGATCTTGAGTGATCCTCCCACCCTGGCCTCCCAGAGTGCCAAGATTACAAACCTGAGCCACCACGCCTGGCCTAACTTTTTTTTAATCTCAGAAACTAAGAATAAAATAAGGCAACTGAAAATAGACATTTTGTATGCACTATATGCCTTAGAATTTCACCTTAAAACTTGGATTTTGCACCTCTTAGTGCACTAATATGTTCATTTCACCCTTTTCCTTCTATTAAACTATAAGCTACTCAAAAGCAAAGGCCAATACTTGTAAGAATGTCTTTTAACTCTTCACTGCCATATATTTGCATATACAGAGCTGATAAGTGATTCATTCTTCCTCAATAAGTTACCAACTGAAAAAAATTAAAATAGGTCACACCCTTCTCCCTTAAAACTATTTTCCAATTATTTTTATTGTAGAAAATTTCAAGCATATGCAATAGAAAGAATAGTATAGCGAACCCTTCTGTAACCCTTACCTGGCTTCAACAATTACCACCAATTCAAGACCAATTTTGTGTCACTATCCCACATCTAACATCCCAATTATTGTGAAGCAAATCCAAGATTTCAAATCATTCATACGTACTCCAGTTCCAATTTAATTTCAACTCCAGTCATCGCCTTCCTTCCCACTTCTTCACCCCCCCCCAAAAATGTACAAAATAATGCAGGCTATCAGAGGCAATTTTATCAGTACTTCTCATAGCCACTTCCTTTCTTCCAGATTATCTTCTATAACATTCACCAACGTCACTATGAAATGTCCACCATTGTATTCAGTCTTTATTTCACTCAGAAATGCATTGTATTTTTTTCCCTCCACAATTCCATTCTGTTTGAAAAAGTGAAAAAAATGTGCCAAAATTTCTATTCTCTTGATAAAGATTACTTCTGATTTGTTCCCTCACCACAAATAAGCTTTAAAAAGCCAAAAAGGTAGTGGAAAAGGATGAGAAGAGGAAAGAAACTTTAATATAGCACTTAAAGTGGTGGGTTTTACCTAAATTGGCATGCACAAATTTTTGAAACTGTTATTCTATTTTTAAAATGAATATTCGTAAACATCAGAGGAAATTTTGCCATGAATTCCTTTCAGGCGGAGAATGTTTATAAAATGGATTATCTTAATTTAAGGGAGCTACTGCCCTCAGGATTTTGGTATTAATAACAGTAGTTGTTTCCGAGCCTAACAAATGGTTATGTAAAAACAATTACCTCCCCTCCGCCCAAATTAAGGGAGGATGGGTTCTGTTTCTGTAAGTGCTGTAACCTTGTTTTCTTTCAACATGAGATTTCTTGGCCTCATCTCAGATAACACCACCACCCTACACTTTCTCCTCCACACCCTTTACAAATGGAATTAGGAAAGGTAGTGAGCAGGCACGCTAGAGTTCATCATGGGAAATGGCTCATCTTGAGAGCATTTCAAGGCAGTAATTGGGATTTCGTCCACTCCTGCTCCTGGCCACTGCACCGGCCGCCCCCTGCCCAGTGACTCGCCGGGAAGCCAGGCGAAGGCTCCACTCCGCAGCCGACAGCCTCTCCTTCCCAGGGGCGGCCGCGACCCGCCCCGGCATCCCCGCTCGTCCCGAGAGGGCTTCGCGACCCGCGCGGTTGTTTACCGCCCGCGCCCCGCGGGCCAAGGATCCCGGCCCGACGCCGCAGCGCCAGCCACCCCCGTTTGAACTGTCCCCTCTGAGCAGCGGGAAAGAACTGTTCACCCTCGAAAGCCTCTCCCCCAGGGCGATAACCTACGATTCCCCCCAACTCCTGCTACCGTCCCCCTCGGGCCAGACGCCGCATCCCCCACGTCGAATTCGGGAGCTGAGCTGCCCTTAGGAACCAGCGCCCGGAGCCCCCGCGGGCCACAAGTCCCCGGCTCCGGAGGGGAGCCACTACTCGGCGCCCCGGAGCCCCAAACCCGAGACCGGGACGCGGGCCCGCGCGGCCGCCCCGCCCCCGGGGAGCGCCGGACCCGAACCGAGAGAAGGCGGCCGCGGGGGTCGGGCCGGGGCCTCCGCACCCCCGGCCGAGCCCCCGAGCATCGGCCGCCCGCCCCGCGGGAGCGAGGCTCTTCCCTCCGCGCACCGCCGCCTCAGGGCGCCGCGAGGGGCCGGACCCGACCGCGCCTCCCCTCAGGCCGCCGGCGCCACGCCGAGCCCCGAGCCGCGAAGGCGACCGGCGAGCCCCTGCTCCGCCGAGCCAGCAGGGCGCGGGGACCCCCCCCGCCCCAGGCCGGGAGCGCAGCGCGCGCCCGGCAACCCCGCGCGGCCGGCGGCCCAGCCCGCTCACTCACCCAGAGCTCGGTGCCCCAGCTCATGGTGCAGGGGGCGGGCGGCGGCGCTCCGCGCGGCGGGCGCGCCTCTCGGGCCCCCTCCCCGGCGAGCCCCTCGCCCTCGAGATCCCCGCGACCGCGGAAAGCCCGGTGCCCGCGCGGCCGCCGCTCCTCGCCCGGGCTCTCCGCCGCAGCTCCTCCTCCCGGCGCTCCACAGCAAAATGGCCCGAGGAAGCAGCAGCCGCGGCCGCCGCAGCGCCCGCCCGCCCCACACCGGAGCGCGGGCGGGGGAGGGGCGCGCGGGCGGGCCGGGCGGGCCGGCCTGACAGCTCGCGCACGCGCGCCAGCCCCGCCCCCGGCCGGGCCCCGGGCCCCCTCCGCGGCCCGCATCGCCCCGGGGTCCGGAAGGACGCGAGGGAGGCGGGGACGGCGGCCTGGCGCCCGAGAACTCCTCCGCGCCGCTGTCTGCACTACTTGTCAGCAGCGCGCCGTCTGCTTCGCGGCCGCCCTGCGGGCCGAGGCTGCCGCCGCGCGGAGCGCCGCTTCGGGTGTGAGGACGACGCGCTCCCCCGCAGCCTCGCACGCCGAGGCTGCTCGGGCGCGCTTCTCCCACCGCAAGCGGCCGCCGAGAGCCCCGAGAGCCCACAGCCTTGCGCCGGCAGCTGGGGCCTGGGACCGTGGTGTCTGCGCTGTGCACATGGGGACGTCGAGGCAAACCGCCAGCGAGCGGCTGGGGAGGAATGCAGGGGCGTACACCCAGTGATTTCTAATCTCTGAAACCAGTGATTTCCAACTTGTTCGCCAAGAAACTCTCAGACGGAAATCATGCTACCGCTCGGTGGGTAAAAGCAAACGCTAGGCTAGCCACAGATACTAGTTCAAGCCCAGCACGTAGCAGCTGGGTGGCCTTGGACAACGCCGCCACCTCTAGAAGTGGAGTCCTGCCTGCCACACGGAGGCAGTAAGGTACCAGCCTCCCCGTGTGGAGGTGAGGGTCACGGCGGTGGGGCCAGGGCCTAGGTTGGTAAACTGAGAGCTCCTTTTATGTGCAGATACTGACTCCCTCTCTCTGTATGCCAAAGGTCTGCACAAATGTCATTCCCGGCTATGGAGAATTTTTGGAATTCCAGCTTTTTCCTCTGAATCACTAGGCCCTTTCCCCACCAGTTATCTTTCTCCCTAGTTAATGCTACTGCTGGATCCTTTTCTGAGTAACCATGAAATCCCAAATGGGTCTTCGTTTAAAAATATTTTTTACGACGATGCATCTCTCCAATCCCACCCACAATTCTTAACCTGTTTATCGTTCTCCTCCGTGAAAGGGTGGAGCTAAAAAACCCTGGTAGATAAACCTCCAAGTCTACTTCCTTTGCGGGACAGTTACAATGTATCTAAACTGTCAAAACCGTTTTGGTCTGCCTTTTTGCAGTTACAAGCCACTGATCGCCCCTGCCATTTTTGTGTCTGTTTAATGTTTTGCTCTCACAGTTACCAGGTCTGAGTACTCTTTGCTCCAGGGACTGCTAGATATATAACAATAAAAACGCCCACCACTGCCAGCCCACCCAACCCAGATTAATAGCTAGCGTGAATTGGAGGGGATGGAAATTCAAACAATGAGCCACAATTTAGTATGCTAAAAATACAGGTTACAAGACCTTGCCTTCAGTAATCGCCTCAATTTCCCTTTCTGCCAAGGTTTGAATATTTTTTCAAATACAATGATCTGAGTTGAATTGAGTTCTTGAAGACTTCTCAAAAACAGAGCAACCACTGTGAAAATGTTAATCAAGAGGTAAAACAACTTGATGCTTTACAGAAGAGAAAGTAGAAAAGACAGCAGCAGAAGAAAAGAGACCACATGAAGATGAAACCTTTTAAGATGAGTAAGCAGGAAATTGTTAAGTTATAGGAACCCATTATAACAGCAGCAGAACTCTGTGGAACTGAGTTAATTATACCACACTGCAAATATCTTTAACTTCATTAAGTTTTGGTAGTAACTGGAAAAAGTTTGCAAGTGTTAGAATCTCCAAAAAGTAAAGAAGACACCAATGATCTTGAATCAATGGAGACAACAGGTCAAGATAAAATGAAATAAGCCAGCAGAAAAAAGGATAAAATACAGCATTTTTTAGGAAGAAGTAAATCTATTTCAGTTTCCCTTAGAGTAAAAGGGAGTGACTCTAAGACAAGGAAGTCTCACTATTAACTACTGACCTACTTAGGAATCAGTTTTCACTAGGGGTATTCTAAACGCTTTCTATGTAAATGCTGGAATTACCTCCAGGGTCAGTTTAGGTTATGTACACGTCAGTTTCACCTCTCAGTAATACCTAGAGAATACTCATTTACAAAGTTATGACCTTGGTGGATGTGATATTATAAAATACGCATTTAATCTTCAACCTGACATACAACTCCTAAAAGCCTTAAGAACTCTAAAGTGATGTCTTTTTATACACTAATGAGATGACTGCTGGCTGCTAGTCCCTAAATAGCTTCACGATTGGGGCTGGTTACCAGATTAGAGGCTTGGGACTTTCATTCTTACCCCCACCCTCTGGGGAGGGGAGAGGTGCTAAAAGTAAAGTTGATCACCAATGACCAACAGTTTAATCAATTCTGACTACATAATACAGACTTGATAACACCCTCCCCCCCCCCAAAAAAAAATGAAGTTCGGAGAACTTACAGATAGCTAAACATGTAAGCTTCTAAAGGGTAGCATACCCCTTCCCCTATACCTCATTCTGTACATCTCTTCATTTATATCCTAAACTGGTAAACATAAATGTTTATCTGAGTTCTGTGAGCCACTCTAACAAATGAATCAAACCCAGAAAGGAGGCCATGGATCCCTGATTGATAACCAGTCAAAAACACAGATAAAACAACCTAAAACTTATGGTTGATAATTAAATGGCAGGGGTGGAGGTGGGGGGAACTATTTTGAGGACTGAGCCTTCAACCTATGAAACCTGACAGTATGCTATCTCCAGGTAGCGTCAAAATAAAATTAATTTAGAAGACACTCAGCTGATGTCCACTACAAAATTACTTACCTGTTGGTTGGGGGAAATCCCCACACATTTATTTAGTCATAAAAAAGTCTTTTGTGTTAATTATTAAGGGAACAAATTTTTATATCTGGAGGCTTTGTTGGAAAAAAAAAAGAAAAAAGAAAAAAAATGTTTTTAAATACTTTAAGTTTGTATATAGGCTTTTTCCACTCAGTGGGGGACTCAAATACATATTTCCACTAAATAAGCTGATCATATGGACAATATTAGTACTGAAATAAAGTATCTGGACAAACAGAAGAGACCCTGTAAAGGTTGCTGTGTTAAGAGGCAAACAACTGTATTAGGGCTTTTTGGCAATTCTAACCCTGCTTGTATTTAATAAACATCTATTTCAGGAGCCTGGCTATACAGATATCTACGTAGCTATACACAGGTATGAGATTTTAAAGCAGACAGAGCTTTATAATTGTTAAATTGAGATCACAGTGTTCCACTCCTTATTAGGCGTGTGGCCTTCTGCAAGTTCCTTACTGAGCTTCAGTTTCCTGATTCACAAAACAGGGACTTCGTAGATTGTTGTTAGGCTGAAATGACGGAGTTAGGGTGAGCACAGGCTTTGATGTTAGCCAGATTTGGACAGCTCTGTACAGGTTGCTCTACAGCTGTGGCTGGACTACTTTCCTTCTCTAAGCCTCAGTTTCCTCCTCTTTAAAACAGAAATAATGCTACGTGAAAGAATATTGGAAAGATTAAAAGAAAGAAAACATGTAAAATGCTTAGCACATAATATGGGCACAAGTATCAGTTCCCTTTCCTCCTCTTTTTTGGAAGATTTTTACTTTTTTTTTTTTTTTTTTTTGAGACAGAGTCTTGCTTTGTTGCCCAGGCTAGAGTGAGTGCCGTGGTATCAGCCTAGCTCACAAGCAATCCTGCTGCCTCAGCCTCCCGAGTAGCTGGGACTACAGGCATGTGCCACCATGCCCGGCTAATTTTTTTTTCTATATATATTAGTTGGCCAATTAAATTCTTTCTATTTATAGTAGAGATGGGGTCTCACTCTTGCTCAGGCTGGTCTCGAACTCCTGACCTCGAGCAATCCACCTGCCTTGACCTCCCAGAGTGCTAGGATTACAGGCATGAGCCACCCACTGCACCCAGCTAGATTTTTACTTCTTATATGAAGGAAATAACCCTTTACGGGCGCTGTGGCTCACGCCGTAATCCTAGCTCTTGGAGGCCGAGGCCGGGCGATTGCTCAAGGTCAGGAGTTCAAACCAGCCTGAGCAAGAGCGAGACCCGTCTCTACTATAATAGAAGAAATTAATTGGCCAACTGATATATATATAAAAATTAGCCGGGCATGGTGGCGCATGCCTGTAGCCCAGCTACTCGGGAGGCTGAGGCAGAAGGATCTAGAGCCCAGGAGTTTAAGGTTGCTGTGAGCTAGGCTGACGCACGGCACTCACTCTACCTGGGCAACAAAGCGAGACTCTGTCTCAAAAAAAAAAAAATAATAATCCTTTAAGCATTGCCTGAACTACAGTTGATTGGTTGTCTATTGATGAAGTACTACTACTAATGAAATTATCAGAATTTAAAAAAAAAATAACTTCTGTTTTTAGCTTAGTATTTCCCATTTCTTTAGCAAACTACTTACTAAGGGCCTAAAAAGCACTCAAGTGGGAAAAGCTGGCATGGGATAAAACTAGGAACTCTGTGGTGAGTAGAATCTTAAAACTGCAACCCATTTTTACAACTGATAATCAAATTCCCCTGAAGGTCTCTGTAAAGATGTACATAAAATCAAGAAAAACTGTCTGCTCTGTAGCTGAAGAAGGTACACACTGTGCCACCAGGTTAAAAAGTGATACTGAAGTTCATCTCCAACTCACAGGATTCAAAGGTTAGGGGCATTGTACTGATATCCTACCTGTCATGACCTGGCTTTTCCATGAAGATCACTTTCTGCAAAAAGATACTTTCAAGGGCTTCCCCCATACCCCAAGAAATGCCTGAAAACCTTAGCTGCAATCGTGGAAAAAATGGAGTTTTAAGTCAAAGTGACATATGACTTCTGAATGCATTTCCAGGCCCTAATTTGACATCTAGTTCCCTATACTGTTTTTATAGGGGATTTTAGTCTGAAATACAACCCTTTTATTTTTTTTATTTTTTTTATTTTTTTATTTTTTTATTTTTTGAAATACAACCCTTTTGATAAGAAAAACAAATGGAAATTATACCTCATTAAACTGGAGAATTTTTTTAATTTCAAAGTATTAGGGGAACACAAGTGTTTTTGTTACATGGTTATCTTGTATAATGCTTAAGTCAGGGCTTTTGATAGACTGGAGAATTTAGCACTTTAAATATTTAAAAGATTTCTGGAAATGTCTAAACTGATGCCAAATAATTAATAGCACTAGATTCAAGCTACACATTCTGCTACTAGTGGCAACTTTTAGTTGACCCTGCAAAGTTTAGAGAAAATAGAAAAGTAAAATGCATTTGACTGAGAACAAAGCTAAAAGCCAAGTTTAGATCAGTCTTTCCAGCTTCTGCAGGCTTTTTCAGTCAATACCTAAAATGTAAGGTCCCTTTGAAACTGTTGCCAGGGAGAAGCAGGCATAACTTGTTCTGTTACTCAACGTGTCTGTCTTCAGTTACAGTATGATTATGCAAATAATATTTTCTTGAAACTATAAAGTCACATGGCTTAATATAATTATCAAAAGTAGTTTTCTCAGAATCTAAAAAGTAACTGTCTAAAAAGTGCTACAAGTCTTTGTAGCCAGTTTCCCCCCATTCTTATTCCTCTCAATTCCAAAATAATGATTGGTACAATATAGCTCTCAAATATGTTAAGGAATACATTCCTCTCAAACACCTGTGCAGATACCTCTGGTATGACCCTGTGATAATAATGGCACCCAACATTAAAAAGTAAAACAAAACAAAACAAAAAAAACCCAAAACATTGCAAACTGCTTTTAAAAAATGAAATTGCTTTTAAAAATCACCTTTCTCTTTAACATTTAGTTTCATACTGAAGTGAGAATTAACTGTCTTTAGTATTTCCTCTTGGTACCTAAAAGGAAATATCACGTACTTTACATTCTTACTATGTTCTTTGATATCGCTAATTTTTAAAAGGCTTTCTGAAAGTTTCTCTAGCATTTTATTTGAAACACATTGGTTACTCAGACTCTGGATTTTTATCTTTTTAAAAACTTAAAATGGGGCCGGGCACAGTGGCTCATGCCATCCATAATCCTAGCACTCTGGGAGGCCGAGGCCAGATGATTGCTTGAGCTCAGGAGTTAGAGACCAGCCTGAGCACGAGTGAGACCCCATCTCTACTAAAAATAGAAAGGAAATTAGCCAAACTAAAATTAGACAAAATTAGCTGGGCACGGTGGCATGTGCCTTTAGTCCCAGCTACTCAGGAGGGTGAGGCAGAAGGATTGCTTGAGTCCAGGAGTTTAAGGTTGCTGTGAGCTAGACTGACGCCACAGCACTCTAGAGTCTCAGTCCGTCTCAAAAAAAAAAAAAAAGTAAGAATTAGAAAGCCATATGCTATATAGTCCAAGAAGCTCAGATCCAATTCTGAAGCAGCTAAAGTTCCAGTTCTGGTTTAAAGATGCTTGCTGCAAATTACCCAACTAGTTGTGTGATACTGAGCACGTCGTTTAAATTCCCTGGATTTGTTTCTTTATCTGTTAAATAAGGTGGATGGATCTCCTGATCCTGCCAGCCTAATACACAAATGCTTTTTCTTTACAACAATGCAGGACAGAGATTAGTGCTGGCTTTGTGGGCAGGGCCCTAGATAAGGGTTCCAGCTGGGGCATTTATAAATAAGGTCTTTGTGATGTTAAATGAGATAATGTATATACAAAATACTTAACAGAGGGCGGGCCCTAGCACTCCGGGAGGCACAGGCAGGCGGATTGCTCAAGGTCAGGAGTTCGAAACCAGCCTGAGCAAGAGCGAGACCCGTCTCTACTATAAATAGAAAGAAATTAATTGGCCAACTAATATATATACAAAAAATTAGTCGGGCATGGTAGCACATGCCTGTAGTCCCAGCTACTTGGGAGGCTGAGGCAGGAGGATTGCTTGAGCCCAGGAGTTTGAGGTTGCTGTGAGCTAGGCTGACGCCACAGCACTCACTCTAGCCTGGGCAACAAAGTGAGACTCTGTCTCAAATAAATAAATAAATAAATTAAATTAAATTAAATACTTAACGGAATACGTGACATTTTTAATAGGTCAGTAAATAAATCTATTATCTCCCTATGTAGATTCACAAAATAATAATTATAGTTTCTTATTCTCAGTTTCTTTATCTGTAAAAGGGGGTAGTAGAATCAGATGAAAATTCTGTTTAAACATGTAAGATTACATATTTGCAATACACAGCAGAGGGTGGGGAAGAAAAGGGATATTCTCCACCAACTAGTAATCATTGCTTTTCCCGTAAGTGATCGTCGCAGGTATTTTAGGATAAACTACAATCTTCCTGGCTTATCTTGGTGCCCTACTTTTGCTCTTGCAGAGATTGTGACAGAACTTGTACTGGTTTTTGAGTCACGGGAAGAATTCATAGATTTGTGCCTTTAATTAAAGTTGCACACAATTAAAAAAATCTAAGATCCTCCCCGTCCCCCATTCTGTACTTTCCAATTGATTTTAAAACTGAGTGTAGGACTTTGGCATCATTAAAATATATCACGTTAATTTCAGTTCCTACTTCTAGTTAAAAACTTTTAAGAATCTGCTTCTGTCATAAAACACACTAGGACACTGACAGTTAATTGGTACTGGGATTCCTGGTGGTTTTTATTTTCTCCTCCTTTGCTTAAATGATTACACGGAAAAAGCATGCATGACTTGTGTGCCAAGTTAAAATAGATTCTAAAAACTAAATAAACCTGGCTAGTCTATTGGCAATTTTGATAAGCATATTCTTCTACAACTCCTTGATAAAGAATGAGTAGGTGGGGACCCACCCACTATTGAATCCTTCCATTAAAAAGGTCCCTATAAATTGTAAAGATTAGAAGCAAAGACAATTTCCACGTAGAATTAAGAGAAAAATGTTAAGACTCAGACTTCAGTGGTCAGATGAAATAGCATGAGGCAATGTAACACAGTAGTTAAGAGCTTCCATGTGATTCCCAGCTCAACTTGGAATAGATTAATTTCTCAAAAGCCTCAGTTTGCTTACCTGTAAAGTGGGGATTAATGACAATACCTACCTCCTATCTCGAATCAGATTGTTCCATGATTAAATGCAACAAAAGGCTTAACAAATTGCCTCATACGGGCTCAATAAGTTATATTATTGCAACCATTGTGCCTGAAATTTGAGGGTGAAGAGCCTGGAAAAAAACAAGGGACCCTATGACAAGCCAGTAATTTTAAGATATTTTCCGCCGAGTCAACCCTCGGTGAAGTAAGTCCAATCAACGGCCAACCACCGTGTTGCAGCCGCAGCATACCCCCACCCTGAGGTCAGGGGTCCCTGGGGCCCAAGGTCGCTTCCAAAGCTCCAGGAGGCAGGGGTGAGGCCGGGGCTGTTCCTGCTCGGCCACCGTTGTCATAGCAACTGCCGGGGGTGGGGTGCCTACACCTCCTCTGGCTAAACCGAAAGTCCGCACCGGGTAGGCCAACAGAAGGGTCCTTCGGTGGCCAGCTTAGGCCCTTCGGCGACTTCTTGGCTCGCGCACCCCAGTGAAGCCACCACAGGGTCAGCAGAGCTAGTCGCCGCACCCCCTCCCCAAGCCCTTCCGGCGGCCGCCGCCCTTTAACCCCGGATGTGGGCGGGAGAGGAAGCGGCTGGTGATGCTGGAGCAAACATGGCCGCCCTGGCGCCAATGGGCCTCTCTGGCTCCGGCTGTCCTCCGCTCGCCGCGGGACTCCAGCTGCTCCCGATGCTGGGGCTGCTGCAGCTTCTGGCCGAGCCCAGCCTGGGCCGCGTCCACCACCTGGCACTCAAGGTAAGGCGGGACAGGGCCAGGCCAGGGGGCGGAGGCCGAGGCCACTCTACCGAGGAGGACGGCAACTTTGGCCCAGTGGGCCCCTCTGAGCTAGTGGGCCACTCATTTGGCTGCGGCCTTTTTCTTCGCGGAGTCTGGCGGGGGTTGTGGGGAAGGCGGAGCTGAACGGCGCGAGGGTCCTCAGGCCGCCTGGTGGGAACAGGAAAATTCGAGCTGAGGGAGGGGAAGGGGCTGAAGTGTGGCGTAACCCCGCAGGACTCGAGAGGCCTCTCTTGCTAACCCTGGCGGTTTCCCTAGTTTCCTCGCCGATAGCAACTTGCTCTTCCACCGCCCTTCTTACTTCTAACCTTTATCCTGACTTCCCTTGTCCGCGGTCTCCCTCTTCCATGTCCTTTTACTGTACCTGGTAGTTTGAAGGTACGAGGGACCTTAGACTCAGTTTCCTGGTTTGGTTTATGGCGTTCTCTGGACCAAAAGCGGGAACTCCAAAAGGAATTTCAAGTGTCGTTTGAAATATGTGACTAGGAATTTAAAATCCATATTAAAAACGTGTTACTAACTTGGGGACTTGCTTTTTCTTTCTTGGCTGTCTCGGGAAGAGAGTTAGGATAGGCCTAGAATGATCCCATGGATCTTGCTTTATAACTCACAGTTGAAAGTCCTCTAAGGCTTACATGGACCTTTAGATGGTTCAGCAGGTTAAACCTGAGGAATAGGAAAGTGAATTGTTGTATGCAAAGTCTTGTACATTATTTTTCTACTATAGTTTTCTAAGTTGTGCGATTGTAGAAAGTTTTTGTCTTGTAAAAACCGCATTGCTTTAGCAAACCATGAAGCATTGTATTTTGTTAATGTAGAATTTAAAGAATACAGGATATGAATTTAAAAACCTGGCCAGGTAGATCCATACAACCATACTTTTGGGTATTAGCATTTGTTAATAAAAATGATAAATTATAAAAATGGTTCAATCACAGGAGGATCATGGCTCCTTTTGAGAATCTGCTGAGAGCTGTAGATAGAACCTTTCTCCAGAGAAGTATAGGTAGAGGAAACTTTCTTGGAATTTCTGAGGCTTAATAATCCTGCTGAAGCTTACCTATGGGTCCTAGCCCCAGGTTTATGATCTCAGATTAAGAACTGATTAAGATCCTGAGTCTTACATTAAGTAATGTGCCTGAGTTCATATAACTTACAAATTAGAGACAAAGCTGGTAATAGAACACACTAGGACCATGTCTTGTGGCTCCCAATCCAGTGCTCTTTGTACATTTCTAGAATTAAAATGCCAGGTAGCATCATTAGGTAAATGCTGGCAATATGGGTATGAGTGGAAAAGAATACCAACCTTAGTGGTAGGGGCAAACAATCGGTATAATTCTGGTGATTGATTTCTCTCTGTTGTGCCAGATTACTTAATGGTTTTCTGTCTTTGTAACATGTTTAGTAAATGCTGTGGTGCTCATTCCATAATCAGTACTGTCATTGTTTCACTTAATACTCTTAACTTCTTTCCCAAGGAGGGCAAGGAAATCACCTGAAGAGAGCCTGTTAGAGCAGCAACTTTAGATTGTGTTGCTTTGCTTTAGACTGAAATAGGAGACTTAATCAGGTTGGAGAACCACACTAGCCAGAATTACATGAAGAAGTCACTGAGTACCAGGAATATGCATTGATCTTTTTAAAAACTTTTTGCTGTGGAGAATTTCAAATTTAACAAGGTAAACAAAATAGTACTCCCATGTACCTGTTACACAGCTTTAATAACTATTACCCAGTGGCTAATTCTGCACCATGCTCATATACATCACTTTCCTGTTTTCATTTTTCATTATATTATTATTATTATTTGTTTTTTTGTTTGTTTGTTTGTTTTTTTTTTGAGACCGAATCTCACTCTTGCCTGGACTAGAGTGCCGTGGTGTCATGCCGTTAGCCTAGCTCACAGCAAGCTCAAACTCCTGGACTCAAGCGATCCTTCTGCCTCAGCCTCCTGAGTAGCTGGGACTACAGGCATGCGCCACCATGCCCGGCTTTTATTCACTCTTCTTATTCTGTGCTATCTTTTACATCATTATTCTGGTTTTTCCAGTCTTCTCACCACGTTTCTTTTCTTTTGACCTTTCTCTATATTCCTTGCTTTTTTTTTTTTTTTTGAGACAGAGTCTCGCTTGTTGCCCAGGCTAGAGTGAGTGCCGTGGCGTCAGCCTAGCTCACAGCAACCTCAAACTCCTGGGCTCGAGTGATCCTTCTGCCTCAGCCTCCCGGGTAGCTGGGACTACAGGCATGCGCACCATGCCCGGCTAATTTTATATAATATATATATCAGTTGGCCAATTAATTTCTTTCTATTTATAGTAGAGACGGGGTCCTCGCTCTTGCTCAGGCTGTTTTGAACTCCTGACCTTGAGCAATCGCCCGCCTCGGCCTCCCAAGAGCTAGGATTACAGGCGTGAGCCCAGCGCCGGCTATTCCTTGCTTTTTTTTTTTTTTTTTTTTTTGAGACAGAGTCTCGCTTGTTGTCCAGGCTAGAGTGAGTGCGTGGCGTCAGCCTAGTCACAGCAACCTCAAACCCTGGCTCAGGCGATCCTCCTGCCTCAGCCTCCGAGTAGCTGGGACTACAGCATGCGCCACCATGTCGCTAATTTTTAATATAATATCAGTTGGCAATTAATTTCTTTCTATTTATAGTAGAGACGGGGTCTCGCTTTTGCTCAGCTGGTTTTGAACTCCTGACCTTGAGCAATCCGCCCGCCTCGGCCTCCCAAGAGCTAGGATTACAGGCGTGAGCCACAGCGCCGGCCCCTATTCCTTGCCTTTTAAAAACAACTTTCAGGCCGGGCACGGTGGCTCACGCCTGTAATCCTAGCACTTTGGGAGGCCGAGGCGGGCGGATCGCTCAAGGTCAGGAGTTCGAAACCAGCCTGAGCAAGACCCCGTCTCTACCAAAAATAGAAAGAAATTAATTGATCAACTAAAAATATATATAGAAAAAATTAGCCGGCCATGGTGGCGCATGCCTGTAGTCCCAGCTACTTGGGAGGCTGAGGCAGTAGGATCGCTGAGCCCAGGAGATTGAGGTTGCTGTGAGCCAGGCTGACGCCACGGCACTCACTCTAGCCTGGGCAACAAAGCGAGACTCTGTCTCAAAAAAAAACAAAAACAACTTTCAAAAATTTTCAAAAAATTATACTTTTTTGAAGTATAATTTACATACCATAAAATTCACCTTTTTTTTTTTTTTTTTTTTTGAGACAGAGTCTCACTCTGTTGCCCTGGCTAGAGTGTCATGGTATCAGCCTAGCTCACAACAACCTCTAACTCCTGGGCTTAAGCAATCCTTCTGCCTCAGCCTCCTGAATAGCTGGGACTACAGGCATGCACCACCATGCCTGGCTAATTTTTTCTGTGTATTTTTAGTTGGTATTAATTTCTTTCTGTTTTTAGTAGAGACGGGGTCTCACTCCCCCCCCCCATCCTCCTTCTTGGTCAGGCTGGTTTCGAACTCCTGACCTTGAGCGATCCGTGCGCCTTGGCCTCCCAGAATGCTAGGAAAACTCACCTATTTTAAGTGTATGATTCAATGATTGTTAGTATATTTATTGAATTATACAACTGTCACACAATCCAGAAATAGAACATTTCTGTCACCCCTGTTAGATCCCTTGTGCTGGTTGCAGTTAATTCCCATTCCACTCCTGATCCCAGGCAGCTACTAATCTACTTTCTGTGTCCATGGATTTGTCCTTCTGGATATTTTATATAATGGAATCACGTAGCAGGTGGTCTTTTATGTCTGCTGCTTTTTTTTTAAGGTTCATCATGTTTACCATGTATCAGTAATGAGTTCCTTTTTATTGTTGATACTATTCCACTGTTTTGGATTCAATCATATTTTGCTTAGCCATTCACCAGTGGTGGACATTTGAGTGTTTCCACTTTTTGGCCATCACGAATGACAATTCTACAATTTTGACGTGTAACTCTTGTGGGGACATAGTTTCATTTCTCTTGAGTGATTCCAGGAGTAGAATGAAATTGCTGGTCATATGGTAGATTTATGTTAGGTTTTAAGAAATTGCCAAAACTATTTGGCAGGTAGCTATACCATTTTACATCCCACCCAGCATTTTATGAGGGTGTCCTTTTCTCCCCAAATTGTTGCCAGCATTTGTCGTTGTCTTCCTGTATTATTTTAGAGTTAATCAAAGGCATTTATATATTTCATCCATAAATATGTGGTAATACTTATAATAAAATAAACCTCCTTTTAAAAACATAGTTACAAGGCCATTTAACACAACAACAACACAAAAATCCTTATTATCAGCAAATAGTAAATCAGGTTCGAGTTTCCCATTGGTCAGATGGATTAAATTTTGAAAATCAGTCTAAAATAGCATCTACACATTGCCATTGATTAATATGTCTTTTTTTTTTTTTTTTTTTGAGACAGAGTCTCACTTTGTTGCCCAGGCTAGAGTGAGTGCCATGGCAGTCAGCCCTAGCTCACAGCAACTCAACTCTCCTAGGCTCAAGCAATCTCTACTGCCTGCAGCCTCGGAGTAGCTGGACTACAGGCATGCGCCACCCATGACGGCGAATTTTTCTTATATATTTTAGTTGGCCAAATTAATTTCTTCTATTTATAGAGAACGGTTGTCCACACTCTTGCTGGGCTGGTTTTGCAACCACTGACCCAGCAATCCGCCTGCCTCGCTCCCAGAGGTGCTAGGATTACAGGCGCGAGCCACCGCACAAGGCCTGAATAATGTGCTTTTAAGTCTCTTATATAAGGAATCTCACTCCTCAGTCCCCCTACTAGATTTTGCCGAAGGTTTATTCATGTATAGTAATATGTTCATCCTAACTTCTGATATTTTTTCTGTAAATGGTAATTAGACCAGAAACTTGATCATGGTCAGGTTGGATTCTTTTAGTGAGACCATGTCATAGGCTGTGCCTGTGGTTTCTTGCACTGGGAGGCACAATGTCTGATT